CACACGCTGCAGGTTGTCCACGTACTGCGCCTCATCCCAATAGAGTGTAAGATTGGCAATCTCAGGACCAGCGTTTGTACCCATAGGGATACCGACATCTTGATGACGAACAAGGCCATCCGCTGTATACAAATATGTATTTGTAACAATAAACCGAAGATGTTGAAGAAAGATCGACACATATATATATCGTCACAATATATATATTGTATATCGCCACACCGTGTATCGGAGGGTAAAGGCGAGAAAAGACAAGACCAACAAAAGAAAAAAGTAAGTAAAGCTCCGCCTGTGTGTATACATATGTACATAGATCTACATCAACGAACATATTGTGTTTAGATATATGTATATATTTCTGCGAAACTTCGTGTATGATCAGAGAGAGGGCAATCTATACACAAAATGCATAATGATCGTAAAACATATCGTTGCAAATAGCCGCCTACCGCCTTTCCCCGAACACAACCCACCCACATCATGCATGCATACAAGAAAGAGCACCTCCGCGAATGCAACATCCCCGAACACAACGCACTCTCATCATTGCGCGCACTTCACGTTGGCGGCGGCATTCACCGAACATAACACCTACCTAGCTACCAACGTGCGGTGCACGCAATCACCTGCCTACGGCCTTGCCCCGAATGGAACGCACGGCCATTATCGCCGAATCTAGACCGAAAGTTGCCCCAAAAACGGGCACAACAACCCGCGTTTCATTCGGGGGGGAACACGGCTACCCGCGCACAATGCGCAGAGCGCGCTCCTACCTGCGGACAGATCACGGAGTCCGTCCTCAACCGCCTGCCATACCACAGAGTCCCTCAAACCTCAAAACCCTCGCTCGGATAATCACCTACCTCACTCAAAATCCTCACAACGGATGACGACGATGAAGATGGCCTTCCCACAGGAGAGGTAGGAGAGGTAGGAGAGGTAGGAGAGGTAGGAGAAGTAGAAAGGTAGGAGAGGTAGGAGAGGTAGGAGAGATAGGAGAGATAGGAGAGGTAGAAGACGGAGGTAGGAAAGGTAGGAGAAGTAGAAAGGTAGGAGAGGTAGGAGAGGTAGGAGAGGTAGGAGAGGTAGGAGAAATAGGAGTAGGAGGAGAAGGGGGAGTAGGAGGAGATGAAGGACACAACCCAAAGACTGCAAGTTCAACAATTTCGCACAGCTTCCCTCAGCAGTCACCTCACTCACAAAGAACTGCGAAGAAAGAAAACCGGTGCGTGCGCGCGAGCGAGCGAGCAAGCGAGGGGGAGAGGACATAAGGACAAAGCAAGGGGATGCCCAAAGAACAAGGTTACGGCGACCTGGCGAGGAGGCCGATACTCAGTATGACACTCATTTTTACTTAGTATTACACGTCTGACAAGTTCGCCGCCATATCCGCCATACTCGCTGAGGGATTCTCGCAGTGACAATACACTCACTATGCAGAGACATATATATATCGTCACACTGTGAATCGGAGCGCAAAGACGAGAGAGAGAGGAACATTTAAAATCGCATCCATAAATACTGGATTGCATGCTGTGATTTTATATACTATATATCTATATATTGTCACAAGAGTATATATATAGTATATAAAATCACAGCATGCAATCCAGTATTTATGGATGCGATTTTAAATGTCCCTCTCTCTCTCTCTCTCTCTCTCTCTCTCTCTCTCTCTCTCTCTCTCTCTCTCTCTCTCTCTCTCTCTCTCTCTCT